GTTTTTCTAATTTCGTTTTAAAAAATTGAAAAACAAAAATCCACATGCTTGTTTTGTTTTTTCGTTTTTGTTTTGAAACGAAAAAAAATGAACCAACCATACACGGATTTAAAACACTGATGTTGATCATAAATGACTTTTTTTTTAAGTTTTATTCAGATTTGAGTTTAATCAAAATGGTTTATTACACAAACTCAAAACTTTTTTTATATGAACTTAATGTTTTTTCTCTTATTTTTAGGCTGTAGTTTCATTTATTTTGTTTTAACAACAATGAAACAAAATTCACTCCAAAAAAAAAGCGGAGATACTTTCCTGAAAAGCAGAATTTTAGAATTTTTTTTTTATGGAATAACTTTAAATTCATTAAATCACCGCAAACGTATTAGTTTTAGGTGTAGATAATGATCCATTGATCATTCTGTGCTGACCGGACTTTTCCTTTTAAGATTTTTATCTGAAGAGTTTAATTTTATGTAGTGTTGCACCGATACCGATACCAGTATCGGACGAGGCCCCGATACTGCCCTAAAATGGTGGTATCGGTATCGGCGAGTACCAACAAATAGGGCACAGATACCATTTTGAGAGCCATAAGTTTCTTCAACTATTGTCACCCACTCCTGGTAGGCAATAAAAAGTTCTACTGGATTCACTTTGTATTAGATTTTTTCCTGCTTCACAAAGGTAGGCAGCAGCTCGACAAAGCCATTATGGCAATTATTTTACATTATTATGGTATCTGTATCGGCCGATACTGCACAGCCAGGTATCGGGTATCGGTATCGGGGCCAAAAAATGGCATCGGTGCAACACTAATTTTATGTTAATTTTTTTCCTGAACCTTTAACAAATGGCTGTGGATATGGAGCCTGTGGAATAGAAAAATAAACAATTCCTCAAAAAAAAGCAGGAACTTGCCCAAATATACTTAGAAAAATAACAAAACTGATTCTATAAGAAATTCATGAAAAACGCATATTTTTATTTGGTCCAACATAACTTTAGAGGCAATAATGCTGATGCTGGCACTTACATTGTTTAGTTTATAAACCTAAATATAATTATTAACTTGGCTTATTAACTTTTTAACTTTATTTTTTTACTTTTCAATTAGATTTTTACCCTTTTTCCTGACTTGTCAACTGTTTTTCGGCTTAATTTCCAGTAGGGAATCTATCAGTCAAGGGCTCATCTAATTGGTCAAATGCCAAAATAAGAAGCACAGCCATATAGCAGCATCTGCTGAATGCTGGATATAGATATTGTGCTTCTAGATCTCACTGAGGGACGGGGGGGGGGGGGATGCAAGTGATAAAAAAATGCTAACTTGCCCTGTAAAGCGTCAACATTTATTTTTTTAATATATTATAAAAGCTGCCAGCTTTTGCCTGTAACCCTGTTATCCTATCAACTCCAAACAACTTCTATTATGCTTATTTCATTTTTCACTTTCTAAAAAAAAATTTTTAAATGTAGTATTTAATACACGATTAATTTAATATTTTGCTTAAATAAAACTTCCGTTCTAAAACGATTTTAAAAATGGATGTTTAATTTTGAAATGGTTGTTTTTCTTTCTTTTCCTCATTATTTTACATTTTTTCTTATCGAGGACATGAATTTTTATAATTTTTTTTTATTTTTGTGCAGTTTTCAGCAGCTGAACTTGAATCTGCGTACCGTTGGGGAAAACATGGCGGTCTGTTTCATCACCTAGGAGAACAGGACCTCATGAGAGACGCTGGTTCCAGGTGTAGGCCAGGCGGTCTGTCCTCGGTGGCACTAATATGGCTCCCCACTTCATACGTGTGCTGCTCCGGCCCTCTGCTCTGAATCTCATTAGCATCGAGCTCAGCAGCTGCACAAGGAGCCGGCCATAAATATTCTTAAGTCCAGCTCAGTTTTCGACATCAGGGATCAACTTTTCTCCTCTCTGAGGTGTAGTGATCCACCTATACGGTTTCAGCCGCGCCGGCTGAGCTTCACTAATTGGTGGAATCTGATCTTCCTGAGCTCTCGGGGGAGGAGGTCATGTGGCGCTCGGAGTTTGTTTTTAAAGAATAAAAGTTTATATTCGACAAAAATCAAAAGTTCAACGTTTTTTTTGTATCTGACTAATCATTGGCATCTGGATGAAATGGTGTCACAGCTGTTCTCTGGTTATTGTGACAGAAAACTGTCATCTTTTTTTCTTCCTCATTCTTCTAAAGTCCAGCCTTGAGTCGAATAAGAGGAAGTTTGTTCTTCTTGTTGTAATCCTTAAATTCATAAATATAATTTTTAACTGGAACTTCAGCAACTGAAAATATATTTTATTTTGTTTGAGTCCTTCAAACATGATCAGGAGTTTATCAGCATAATGAATCCCCAGAGGTTGCATGGTCTTTACAGTAGTAGGGCCAGAATTTCTTTATTTATTTATTTTCAATATGAGGATAAAGTCATAACCTTATGAGAAAAATGCCTCAGCATTATAAAGTCATATTATGAGAATAAAATCGCAACATTATCAGAATTAAGTTATACTATGAAAATAAAGTTGAAATATTAAAAAAATAAATTTGTAAATTTGCGAGAATAAAGTTGAAAAATTACAAGAATGAAGTCATTAAACCACAACCTGTTTCAGAAAGGAAGCTTCCAGAATAAATGGCTTCCATACAGACATAGTCATCCTAACAATCGTTTCAAAGTTATCATACTGATAATAATTTAATGCTAAAAGTCTCAATATTTCCTTATTTGTGAAAGTATAACTACTAAAGTATAACTACACAAGATGACGACAATCTTCATTTTAGGGAAGAAAGTGCTTCTTGTAAGAGTTGGTCGTAAAACACAACTGTTCTCGTATTTTATGACTTTATTCTCATAAATTTACGACTTTATTCTCGTAATGTTACGATTTTATTCTCGTAAATGTACGACTTTATTCTCTTAATGTTACGATTTTATTCTCATAAATGTACGACTTTATTCTCCTAATGTTATGATTTTATTATATATAATTTAGACGCTAATTTTTTTAAATGTACGATTTTATTCTCGTAAATGTATGACCTTATCGTAAATGTACGACTTTATTCTCTTGTTACAATTTTATTATAATTTATGACGCTATTCTCATAAATGTAAGTTTTTATTCTCGTAAATGTATGACTTTATTATCGTAAATGTTACAATTTTATTAGAATAATTTTATGATGCCTTTTTCATAAATGTACGACTTTATGCTCTTAATGTTACGATTTTATTAGAATAATTTAATGACTCTATTCTCATAAATGTTTTAATTTTATAATAAGAATTTTATGATGTTGTTTTCGGAAATGTACTTTATTCTCGTAAAAATACGACTTTATTCTCGTAAATTTACGATTTTATTCTCATAATGTTACGATTTTATTATAATTTTATAACGCTATTTACTTAAATGTACGACTTTATTCTCGAAAATGTATAACTTTATTCGCGTAATGTTACGATTTTATAATAAAAATTTTATGTTGTTTTCGTAAATGTAAAACATTATTCTCGTAAAAATACGACTTTATTCTCGTAAATTTACGACTTAATTCTCATAATGTTACGATTTTATTATAATAATTTTATGACGCTATTTTCTTAAATGTATGACTTTATTCTCGTAAATGTACGACTTTATTCTCTTAATGTTACGATTTTATTATAATAATTCTATGACACTATTTTCTTAAATGTACGACTTTATTCTCATAAATGCATGACTTTATTCTCGTAATGTTACGATTTTACAATAATTTTATGTTTTTTTTCGTAAATGTACAACTAGATTCTCGTAAAAATACGACTTTATTCTCATAAATTTACGACTTTATTCTCATAATGTTACAATTTTATAATAATAATAATTATTATTATTATTATACGATTTTATATTAATAATTTTATGATGTTATTTTCGTAAATGTACAACTTTATTCTCGTAGAAATACGACTTTATTCTCATAAATTTACATCAAAAATTTCGATTTTTATATTGAAAAAGCTTCCTGGATGGGAAGTAAAACGTCTTTAAACTTGAAAATAAAGTCCAGTAGGTTTTTTTAGAATGACTATGACCTGGATGACTGAGAATCTTCACCAGTATCCCATTTCTTGTTGCGAGCTCCAGACCTCCAGCATACGGCTGGGAGGCAGCGCTGCCATTAGTAACGCCTGGAAATGAATAGAAAGCATTTTTAAGGTTTGTGGTAAAAACTGCAAGAACCAGAATAAACAATGCAATATTTTCTGTCGGCAGGTTTAAACATTTTTAGTTAATTTTGGTATTTCTAAACTGTTTCTCCATAGTTCATAAAAAATGTTTTAGTGCAGCAATAATGATCAGAGCTCCTCTCTGTTCCTTCTACACAACAATCCATTCTTCCAGCTTTCTTTTGAACGTTTGGAGTTGAACTCCCTTAATGTTTCTTCATTTTTCATCTGCAGAATGTCTGCAGAAGCGATGGCAGCAGGTAGTTTCTGTCTTTTCTGTTTGGTTGATGCTCCTGCGTCCAGCGCACTAGCGTCGGACGCTACGACGCTCTGAATACGCCGCCCCCTCATAGACCTTGCATGTAAACCAGACTTTTTGACGCCCAGAACGCGCCCTGTGTGAATGCACCCTTAGGCTGGTCTGTGGGTTGGCATCATAAAGGTCTAAGGAGACTTGCGGGCATGTTTAGCATGTTTTTTTTTTAAACTGAAGTTGATCTCGACTCCTCCCATGTGTTTTAGGATAAACGGGGTTTTAGGACTGCAACCAAACATACAAGAAAGGAGAAAACAGCTAGGATGTCTGTTTTTTTCCGTCTCCTTCCTTCCTTTCTTTGCCTGCTCCCGTTTCTGTGAAGCTACCTTCTGTTTTTGGCTAAAGCTGCTGTTTTATTTCCATTTCTGATTTACTGTGGTGGTGCTGAGTCATGTTCAGATGACCCTGGCTGATCTTATCCAGTTTGAATCCCTTTTGTTTACAGAGAAAGTTGCAGTGGAGACATCTGTAGAGCTGACTAAAGGTGCTGCAGTGATACGAATTGCAGGTAGAGGAACCGGGAGAATTTATTCTGCGTTACTGCTTCCAAGAAAAGTGACTTGACTAATACCCCCCCCCCCCCCCCCCCCCCACTTCATGGAGTATAAATCTGTTCTAACTAAGCGTTTCTATTCCTTTCATTTTAGTCGTCTTTGTCTGTGTTCAATCCTCCATCTGTTCATTAAAGGTGCATCTTAATTTTCCGTCGTCATGGCAATCATACGGGCACTTATTGGTGGGTTTTTTTTCCTTTGCAGTTAATTTTCCACCTCAGTGGAGCTTTTCGGGCTTTCAATCTTAACTCACACCTTTGGGACTGAAGCGCTAACCTTTTTTTGGGGGGGGGTTTGTGATGTTTGTTCAGAGAAATTGCAGTCGGCCCTCGTTTTTACAAGTCCAATTCTGCCTCTCCTTATTGAACTCAAACGGTGCTCACTGACCCCTTTTTTTGTTTCAGAGCTGGAAAATGAAATCAACGCTGGACAAATAGTAAAGCCAGGTACATGTGCTGCCCCCGCAAAGCCGAAGCATCGACCTCCTTCCTGTTTCTGCACTTTTTAGAAAAAGGAAATGACTCTATCCTAGAAAACTGTGGGGTAGATATCCCAACCGGGGTCATAAACCAGTCTTTTCTATAGGGGGTCGGGAAGCTTTGTCTGTCAGATTTATTGCTTAAAAATTATGAATTAAACCAGTTTACGAATTAAAAAAACAGGTATGAATGCTGCCTTCTGATTGAAAACATTTTGGTTTAATTCCCTCTCCTAAAGCTGCTTTTACAATCTTCCACTCTTAAAAAGTTAAAGTTAAAAAACAACAATCCACTGGACTTTGTTTTCCAAGTTTGAAGACGTTTCGCTTCTCATTCAGAAAGCTTTCTCAATTCAAAATGTCTGGATTAGCTTTGAGTTTCAAGCTTTGATAGAGCAAAACAACAAAAGCCTTGTAATGGCTTAGAAAACATGTAAATTGAAAACGGAAAAACAGTTTCACCCATTAATAATGGGTGTCAGGCTAAACACGGATGGGCTACCTCCACCAACACCTTAAAGTTGTTGGGAAATCATGTTTAAATGTCAAATCATTCTGGCTTAAACATGTATATAAATGTATTCTTTATCAGACCATATTGTCCCAAAATTTAGAAAATTTCTATTTAAAAGATCATCAGCCTGAACACCTAAATTCAGCCAATCATATATCAACGTAGCCTGGTGAGACCATCCTGATCTCGCGAGCTTTCAAGGTTTCACTCGCAGATCAGTCCGGAGACTCTCCGTTAAAGAAAATTTGGCACTTTATATTAGTGACGTGGTTTTAATTAATGAATGACACATTTATTTATTTAATTCCACATTTAATTAATTATTGACACATTTAATTATTTATTTAATGCTGTATTTATTTATTTAATTTTGGCACTTTTTATCCTCCATAACGAACAAGGAGCCGTTGGCTTTCAAAGTTAAGCTGCGTTCACACCAAACACAGCAGGAGCAGCAAAAACGCGCCTGCTCCTTCATTTTTGATGCTTGCTTAAGTTTAGTTCTGACGTGAAGTACCGCTAGCTCTGATCTCCATTTTTTTTGTTTTATTTGGCAAAATGTTAATTTGATTTGTGTTTATCTGACTGTGTTCATTATTATTCCCCCATTGAATGAAAAAAGTCAGAATTTATCATTATCTAGAGACTATTAATAACAGGAGGTGAAATGCAGCTCTAGACGATCTGAGCGTGTGGTGATGTCATCAATAAGCTTCTGTTCCAATTGACCCATATATATGTGCTGCGTGCTCGCGTTCTCGCCAAGTCCAGACTTTCCTGTGTTCTTGCCAAGACCGGACTTGAGGAGAAAGCAAGTCCGTACTCGCATTCTCGCGAATTGAGAAACAGCCAAATATTGACAGGGATAACTACCTTGACGCCAACCTCGTGAGACCATCCTGATCTCGCGAGCTTTCAAGGTTTCACTCGCTAATCAGTCTGGAGACTCTCCGTTAAAGAAAATTTGGATCCGTTCACCAAACGAACGTCCAATCAGCGTTGGCTTTGAGGCGGGTTGAGGTGTGACGCAACGAGAAGCGCGACAGTTCAGTCTAAAGAACATGGCGGCTTCAGCCGATGAAACTAGCGTTAGCGTGCCTATGTAGCAAGTTTTATCGGAATTACAGAGTATTTCTTCACTGAAAGAAGAGCAATACACTGCTCTGGAGGCTTTATCAGAGGAAAAGATGTTTTTGCTCTTCTCCCGACTGGTTTCAGCAAGAGTTTGATCTATCAATTGGCTCCTCTTCGTCGTCGCTCTGTTAGTACGTCATAGGCTTCGTTGATCTGATTGGTTTATTTGGCCCGTCTATCACCAACATAGGCCAATCAGCTAACCCGTATTTTCGCCCCTTCCCAAAATTACTTCAACGGAAGGTTTCCAGATGGATATGCGGAGCAAATCCATCTGGCGGAGTCAGGTTAATATCAACGGTCATCTGTCAATCAAATGTTTTCGGTCATAGCATCTTGATTCATATGTCGCAGCGAATATACGCAACGGTCGAAGTAAGAAATCTTAGAGCTAACAGAACTGGCAGCGTTGTGAGGCAAGGGCTCAAACATGTACGGCTGGAAGCCTTCTACACCAAACCAAGCTTCTGCCGCCCTGGCGTCCTCTTCCACAACATCTTCGTCCCCGCTTTCCTCCTCTAAATAAAAAATGGATGACGGAGGAGACTCATCCACGACCTCCGACACTAAACTCTCCTCCTCTTGCATGTTTCCTCTGTCCATAGCGTTCCTTGACAGCGTCGTTTCTAAGTCACCAATTTAGTGCTACTTGGTCCCAATGGAATTTCCCATTGGGAACCTGCTAGCACTAAGTTGCTAACTGGTTAGCAAGATGCTTCCTACAAACTGGCAAAAATCAAACATGCTTGCGAACCTTCCGCCACAACAATCCCGCCCCCTTGATAAAAGACCAATCGCGTTCACTTTATTCACTCGTGAAAAGTCGGGCACCACTCGGGAGAATTCGGAACTGCAACCGTTGGAACAGCCGCTTCTTCGAAAGAGGCGTGAAGGAAGCCATTTATGTTAAGAGAGAAAAACCAACCTTAATCAGAGGGGGTGGACTCAACTCAACCTACAAAGCAGCGATAGAGTTGATTCCTTCCAGCTACCATCTCAACCCCCATCTCTATGCAGGGGAACGAAATATCTCTGCAGGTCAGCCAGGCCAACAATGACCCTTAACGACTGCCTTGTCAGAGGAATGGACCAGTATCAGGTATTGCAGGCCAATAACGACCTCAAAGACTCCAATTATTAAGGGTGAAGATTAGGGATGCACGATATAATCGGCCCCCTATCGGTATCGGCCTTAAAACTGAATATCGGACATCGGCCACCCCACTGATATTTAACCCGATATTTGATCAGCTTCTGAGTTTCTAACCCGATATTTGATGAGTTTCTAAAGTCTAAAAAAAAAATACTACTTCTTCTTCTTCCTCAAAAACTTCTTTTTTACAGACTTAAAAACTTCTAAAGACGAGGGAAAAAATATTGCTACATTAAAATATCCCAATATCTTCATATGCTGATATATTGCCATTTAAAAACATCATATCAATCTCTTTTACTAATGAAATATTGCTATATGTCATCGTTATGCTACGAAATCCCCCGAAAATTCACCAAATGTTGCCATATTTTTATATGTTGATATATTGACGCGGTATCGATCTATTTTACTAACAAAATCTCACAAGAATTTGAAAAATATCACGAGAGTTTGTAACAGAACGATGAAATTTCACGAGAAAAAGTAAAATAGATCGATACCGCGTTTTTAAAATCAATTTGATATCAGCATATGAAAATATATTTGAGTATATTATTTTTCAAAGTGTCAGAAATGGATAACAAAACTGCTATTTTCAATGACTACTTATTTTTGTCCAGCTTTAACATCGGTATCGATATCGGTTATCGGCTACATGAGTTTTAAAATATCGGCATATCGGATATCGGCCAAAATCCCAATATCGTGCATCTCTAGTGGAGATGGTATTCCAGCTTCAAAGTATATGTTTTCTAACTGTTGGGCTGCTCTATAAAACCTTGAACTCAACGCTAATCCAGACATTTTGAATTGAAAAAGCTTCCTGAATGAGAAGCGAAACGTCTTCAAACTTGGGAAAAAAAAAAGTCCAGTGGATTGTTTTTTTAACTTAACTTAACTTTAACTCTTTTGGAATGACTCTGACCTGGATGACTGAGAATCTCCACCATCATACTTGCCGTCTTCCACGTTTGCCTCGCCTTCCAACCACGGCTTGCGTGATGCTTCAGTGGAAATCTCAAACACAAGTTTCTCACCTTGCTTGTTGCCCCGAGCTGCGCTATTCGATTCTTCCTCAGTTTCCTCGCCAAAAGCATTCCCGTCGTCCCTTTCCCCCCCCCCTCCATCTTTGTTGGCCAGCTTCTCTTTGAAGACGAGACTCTCTCTCTCTCTCTTACTTACAGGAATAATTCTGCACTAACTTCAGCTAACGTCACACGGATTAATCGCAGATGACGTCGCATTATTTCGCTGGTAGAAATAATGTGAAAAGGTCATGTCCTGAATTCTGAAATCACACAAATCCAACTGAACTTTTCATTTCACCTGCAGTCTGTTTTCTTCTGCCCTTCCTCACCTACTGGAAACCCATAGGTGATCCTCCGACTGTTTCTAATATTTGTTTATTCATTTTTTTTTATCTCAACAGATGGGTTTTGTTTATTTTTGGCTGGCCTCTGCCTCAACCTCGCTTGTTTGTGTTGTCTCCTTTAATCCAGATGCTTTTACTTTTTCCATACGCTGCATTGTTCTCCCTGTGGAAGCCGCACACGCTGTTTACAACTACAGTAACTCAGCTGCTAGTTGAAATAACGTAGTGAATGTCTACAAGAAAGCCCCGCCCCCACGCCAAAAAAAGATGGCACTCTTCAAATCTAATGGACTAATATTTTGTTTCTGTTTTTTGTTTTTTTGTTTTTTTTGCAGTGTACGATAAGCAAGGTTTTCTGCTGCAGGAAGCAAAACTGTGAGTACATTTCCTTCTCCTAAATACTCATTTAATGAGACAGGTTCATGGATTCTCCATGTGCTGCACATGTCGTAAATAAGAGATGCAACATCTGGTCTAAAAAAAAAAAAAAATGAAGTCACTGCTTTCAGAGGAAAACTTTAACCCAAATTTTCCGTTATCTAGGGAAGTTTCCAAACTTTTCATCCCCTGATCCTAAAAATAACAGATCAACAGAGACTGACGACATCCTAAAAACACATTAATAATTCACACACGCCTGAGGGGTCAACTAACAAAGTCCAAAGAGTTGTTACCTTAAGTAGAAAGTTTAGCTTATCAATACTTTACTGGAGTAAATCTTTTTATTTCTACTTCTTACATTTTCTTACAATTATCTCTAATTTCTGCTCCGTATATTAATAAAATGTCCCCGTTTTCCTTGAACTCCTTTCCTGGTCCCTACAATTCTTTTTTAAATATCAATCTTTGTGCTAAAATATCTTTTCTGTCATGATTTGTGGACATTAAGATCTAAAGACAAGCGCCCTCTTCTGGTCAGAGCCTGTAATTCAGAGTCAATTCAACTCCGTATATTCAGGGTTTCCGCAGGTCATTAAAAATCATTAAAAGTAATTAAATATTAAATTAAGGCCTTAATTGGCATTAAAATTCATTAAATGTGATTTATTGTGGCATTTAAAATGCTTTATTTAAAAAAAAATTATAAAAACAATTCCGTCTGATATATCGTGATATATTTGCACGGAACTGAAGCCATATGTTCGAAAAAGAAGCTCAAGGTGTAGAAAAAGTAAATACTGTGAAGATGACGAAGGATTTTGCCTATATATATATTTATTAGGGATACAGGATATTGGGATTTTGGCCGATATCCGATATGCCGATATTTTAAAACTCATGTAGCCGATAACCGATATCGATACCGATGTTAAAGCTGGACAAAAATAAGTAGTCATTGAAAATAGCAGTTTTGTTATCCATTTCTGACACTTTGAAAAATAATATACTCAAATATATTTTCATATGCTGATATCAAATAGATTTTTAAAAACGCGGTATCGATCTATTTTACTTTCAGAATCTCGTGAAATTTCATCGTTCTGTTACAAATTCTTGTGAGATTTTGTTAGTAAAATAGATCGATACCGCGTCAATATATCAACATATAAAAATATGGCAACATTTGGTGAATTTTCGGGGGATTTCGTAGCATAACGATGACATATAGCAATATTTCATTAGTAAAAGAGATTGATATGGTGTTTTTAAATGGCAATATATCAGCATATGAAGATATTGGGATATTTTAATGGATCAATATTTTTTCCCTCGTCTTTAGAAGTTTTTAAGTCTGTAAAGAAGAAGTTTTTAAAGAAGAAGTATTTTTTATTTTTTTTTTAGACTTTAGAAACTCAGAATCTGATCAAATATCGGGTTAAATATCGGTGGGGTGGCCGATGTCCGATATTCAGTTTTAAGGCCGATACCGATAGGGGGCCGATTATATCGTGCATCCCTAACATTTATATATACATATATCTAACTGCTTAAACGATGTTAAATCATGGATGGCCTCAAACTTTCTGAATCTGAATGAAAGTAAGACAGAAATTCTAATGTTTGTTTGTAGTCCAGCAGTTTTTCCTCCTGGCTTCTTGGGCCCTCTTACACCTAACATTCAATCATCAGTAAAAAATCTAGGTGTAATATTTGATGACAGGTTGAAATTTGATCGCCAGCTTAGCTCGGTCGTACCAGTTAAGAATTTTATCAAAGTGAAAGGATACCTGCTACAAAAAGATCTGGAGACCGTAATCCATGCTTTTATTAATACAAGATTGGATTACTGCAACTCTTTCTATGCTGGCTTGGACCGCTCACTTTTACACCGTCTGCAGTTGGTACAAAATGTAGCTGCCCGTCTCCTTACTGGCACACGTAAACGTGACCACATCACCTGTTCTAGCCTCAATGCACTGGCTACCGGTTGTTTTTAGGATAGATTTTAAAATTTTATTGTTTGTTTTTAAAGCTCTTAATGGTCTAGCCCTTTGGATTGGAAAAAACTTGCTGGATGGAAGAGAAACGTCTTCAAACTTGCAAACAAAGTCCAGTTGATTGCTCTACTTTTTTGGTATTACTATAATAATAATTATGTATGCAGATGATTCCACTATATATACATCAGCAAGAACAAATAATGAATTAGAAATTATTATGAATAACGAACTAGTGGGAGTGGATAAATGGGTGAAAGCAAATAAGCTGGTATTGAATACAGCAAAAACTAACAGCATGATTGTGAGGTCAAATTACAACGTAAACAGTAATCATATATTGAATATTAATATCAATAACGTCTCGATAAGGAATGTGCATGAGTCCAAGCTTCTGGGAGTGACGGTGGATAACACGTTATTATGGAGAAAACATATTAATAACATGATTGCAAAGATGGGTAGAGGAATCACAGTCATAAGAAGACATGCAACCTTTATGTCCCCACATATTCTTAAAATGATAATCCAATCATTGATTTTTTCTCATATGGATTACTGCCCAGTCGTCTGGTCAAATGCCCCAGGAGAGATGCTAAATAAACTACAACATGTACAAAATAGAGCTGCCCGAATAATATTGAAGTGTGATTTAAGGACAAATATCATAACAATGCATAAAAAATTAAACTGGTTGTTGGTTAAAGACAGACTTTCATACTCATTGACTGTTATGATTAGAAACATATCTGTATTAAAAACACCTTATATGTTATTTACAAACCTTACTTTTAGTTCAGAAAATCACGAATACAGGACTAGGCATGCGACTGAAGGAAACTTTAGTTTGCCTAAAGTAAAGTCAAATGCCCTAAAAAGAACTGTTATGTATAGAGGTATGAAAGCATGGAATTTACTGCCGAATTACATTAAACTGATAACTGATTTAAGGAAATTTAAAAAATCATTGAAAGAACATTTATTAAATATAGAGGTAAAACATGATTAGGACTGTCTTCTTCACTTGCTGTGCTTTGTAGTTTGTTTTGATTAGTTTGGATTGTTTCTGTTTATGTATATGGGTATATATGTATATGTATATATGTATCTGTATATGTGTGTATGTATATATGTATATGTATAGATTATGGGAAATGTTGTTTTAATGTCCACATAATTTTATTTCATTTGTAATTTTTTTTTATTTCATGTTTTGTTGTTGGACCCCAGGAAGAATAGCTGTAGCTTGCTACAGCTAATGGGGATCCTAAATAAACTAAACTAAACTAAACTAAACTAAACTATGACCTGGATGACTGAGAACCTTCACCAGTATATTCTAATAGAGTAATAAAGATTAATACTTTGGACTCCTCTGACAAACACACGTATATATGTATATAAAACAATGAAATGCAGTTTATAGGACTCTGGAAAACAGAAAAAGACATTTCTAATTAAAGTTTGGGGGAAAAAAAAAAAAAAAAATATATGAAACAATTATGTTGTTCCTCAACATTTTATTAAGATTCAGAAGTTTTTATTTCCGTATTGCATTTTCTTTATTTTTAATTTCCACTTGGAAAACATACTCTGGACAGAAATTCCCTCCGTAGAAAACTGAAGCCGTGGCGCATCATCGGTTTATTGTCACTAGAGATAGACGTATTAGATAAAATTTTTGGGCAATAGTCGTGCGTCGTTTTTTAGTTTTCTGATTTATTAGAGCGTCCAGCAGCAATGCCGTGCGATCACATAAGGCGCATGCATTGCTGCGCCCTCCATTATTAATGTCTGATGGCTGCAACTAACCATTATTTTGCAAATCGATTAACCAGTCAATTCTTGTTGTTTTTTATTAATTGTTAATTAATTAATTGTCTGATTGCAAATGGTGCTTAAAGCAACATTAACTAGTTTTTCAACATTCATAAATTGTGCAGGAATACGGTAGAAAACCGTAGTTAAACGATTCTGATTCTCAACATCATTATATAACACTGTTAGCTTCATTAGCTTAGCCTTATCTTTTCACACAGCCACTGGAAACCGAAATTAGGTTTATTCCAACTGCAGACGACTGGAAGATCAGGATTTGATCGTGTAATGCGGCTGGTCTTCATGGGAAATGCGGTCTTCAGGCAAAACAATACAGCTTTTGTCCACCAGGGGAGCCAAAAACCAACCAAAACTAAAAGTGCTTTAGAACTCTGCTTTGTTTTCTTTGCAAAATTTGATGCAGGTAAAGCTGAAAGGAAACAACTTTGGGAGTTTTGGTTAGAATATATTTACCAAAAAAGGTTTTCATCTTTAATGCTAAATGTTTATACTTTTGTACAGTTTCAGGGTTCTTTTAGGATATTCTAGAGTCTATATCTTCAGCTGAAATAATATAAATAATCAATTAGTGTATTAGTTACCAATACTTTATAAAAAAAAAAAAAAAAAAAAACCCTTTAATAATAGCCCTATATATTTTTTACCGCCATCATTCAGCCGCTCGTTTTCATAGCAAAGAAAAGCCGCTATCTGGAAACCAAAAGCAGACATTTTTTATTTAAGCTTTGCATCATAATTTCTTTAAAAAAGAAAAAGATTTGTCACTTTTTTTGGTTGTTCATCAATGAGGAAATGTGAAAATATACTTAAAAATATGTATCTAACTACTGCCTCAGGTGAGAAATGCAAAGATAAGGTAGTAATCACTGTTGGACTTGGATGTTATCATTTAACTCTGACCTGCTATAGTTGGGTGGTCATCAGGGAGCCTTTTATAAGCTGCCGTTGGCTTCCTGACCTTCAAAGCGTCTGTCCTCACACTGCGCACACACCATATAAGCACTCCGTCAACACACACCTCAGGTTGGATTTAATGTCCGCCAAGTTTATATAAAACAGAGACTTGCTTTATATCTACAGTGCCATTAATTATGAGTCCAAGCACAACCCATCCGTTGTTATAATTCATCTTAGCGCTGATATTTAGTTTGCAACATGGATCATTTATTTGATGCTAGTAGGATGAGTGAGATTTCATTTGCAGCAGGTTAAAGGGTTTCCCTGCTCTATGGGGGGAATTTTGTTCCTTTATCGTTAAAACAAAAAGGTTTTTGTAAAAAGAAATGTAATGGAAAGAAAAAGGAAAAAAATTCAATCCAGATGTGAAATTTCTTCATCAAGAAAAGGTTTAGAGAGCAACTTCTTGTTTACTTTTGTTTTTTAAGTATTTTTTAATTCTGATTTTATTTTACAAATTTTAGAAGATGAAAAAAACTGATTTGTAAAGTACAGTTTTAAAAGTTTAAAACACACACGGCCCATGTATGGAGTCTGTGGTATGGAGTGAACTTTCTGCCAAAACAATAAAGCATGTTGCGCACGCGTAAAGAACGTTGCGCACACACTTAAAGCACGTGTGTAAAGCATGTTGCGCACACGCATAAAGCATGTTGCGCACACGTAAAGAACGTTGCGCACACACTTAAAGCACGCGTGTAAAGCACGTTGCGCGCACACGTAAAGGACGCGCGTAAAGCACGTTGCGCACACACGTAAAGCACGCGCGTAAAGCATGTTGCGCACATGCGTAAAGCACGTTGCGCGCACATGTAAAGGACGCGCATAAAGCATGTTGCGCACACGCATAAAGCATGTTGCGCACACGCGTAAAGCACGCGCATAAAGCATGTTGCGCACATGTGTAAAGCACGTTGCGCGCACATGTAAAGCACCTCATAAAGCATGTTGCGCACATGCGTAAAGCACGTTGCGTGCACAAGTAAAGCACCTCATAAAGCATGTTGCGCACATGCGTAAAGCACGTTGCGCACACGCATAAAGCATGTTGCGCGCACGCGTAAAGCATGTTGCGCGCACGCGTAAAGCATGTTGCGCGCACGCGTAAAGCATGCGCTTAAAGCATGTTGCGCACACGCTTAAAGCATGTTGCGCGCACGCGTAAAGCATGTTGCGCGCACGCGTAAAGCATGTTGCGCGCACGCGTAAAGCATGTTGCGCGCACGCGTAAAGCATGTTGCGCGCACGCGTAAAGCATGTTGCGCGCACGCGTAAAGCATGTTGCGCGCACGCGTAAAGCATGTTGCGCACACGTAAAGCACGCGCATAAAGCATGTTGCGCACACACGTAAAGCATGTTGCGCGCATGCGTAAAGCATGTTGCGCGCATGCGTAAAGTATGTTGTGCGCACACGTAAAGCACGCGCATAAAGCATGTTGCGCACACGCGTAAAGCACGTTGCGCGCACACGTAAAGCACGCGCATAAAGCATGTAGCGCACACACGTAAAGCACGTTGCGCAAACAGATAAAGAATGTTTCACACAAACAAATCTTATCACAAATAAATATGTTGCTTTCAAATAAATCTTATTGTTCACAAATAAAACTTGTGTTACAAACTGTTCTTAAATGTTGCAAAGACAAAAAATTAGTTTTACAAGCCGGACTCTAACGTTGCACTCAAAATATAATATAAATGGTCCCAGAGTACAAAATGATCTCTGCTCACATACAAAACAGCCTCTCCTCACGTTCCAGACAATTCTACGCACTCCGTGGCAAGTTTCTGCCAAAAGTCCAATGTTAAATAAAGAATCGTCATTCTAACTAACCGACAGCAGGAGGCGCTATCCAATCAAAACAACTGTAATGTGCTGGCGTCAAGGTAACCTGACTCCATGGAAGGTTTCCAGATGGATTTGCTCCGCATATCCATCTGGAAACCTTCCGTTGAAGTAATTTTGGGAAGGGGCGAAAATACTGGTTAGCTGATTGGCCTATGTTGGTGATAGACGGGCCAAATAAACCAATCAGATCAACGAAGCATATGACGTACTAACAGAGCGACGACGAAGAGGAGCCAATTGATAGATCAAACTCTTGCTGAAACCAGTCGGGAGAAGAGCAAAAACATCTTTTCCTCTGAGAAAAGCCTCCAGAGCAGTGTTTTGCTCTTCTTTCAGTGAAGAAATACTCTGTAATTCTGATAAAACTTGCTCGATAGCCACGCTAACGCTAGTTTCATCGGCTGAAGCCGCCATGTTCTTTAGACTGAACTGTCGCGCTTCTCGTTGCGTCACACCTCAACCCGCCTCAAAGCCAACGCTGATTGGACGTTCGTTTGGTGAACGGATCCAAATTTTCTTTAACGGAGAGTCTCCAGACTGATTAGCGAGTGAAACCTTGAAAGCTCGCGAGATCAGGATGGTCTCACGAGGTTGGCGTCAAGGTAGTTATCCCTGTCAATATTTGGCTGTTTCTCAATTCGCGAGAATGCGAGTACGGACTTGCTTTCTCCTCAAGTCCGGTCTTGGCAAGAACACAGGAAAGTCTGGACTTGGCGAGAACGCGAGCACGCAGCACATATATATGGGTCAATTGGAACAGAAGCTTATTGATGACATCACCACACGCTCAGCTCGTCTAGAGCTGCATTTCACCTCCTGTTATTAATAGTCTCTAGATAATGATAAATTCTGACTTTTTTCATTCAATGGGGGAATAATAATGAACACAGTCAGATAAACACAAATCAAATTAACATTTTGCCAAATAAAACAAAAGAAATGGAGATCAGAGCTAGCGGTACTTCACGTCAGAACTAAACTTAAGCAAGCATCAAAAATGAAGGAGCAGGCGCGTTTTTGCTGCTCCTGCTGTGTTTGGTGTGAACGCAGCTTAACTTTGAAAGCCAACGGCTCCTTGTTCGTTATGGAGGATAAAAAGTGCCAAAATTAAATAAATAAATACAGCATTAAATAAATAATTAAATGTGTCAATAATTAATTAAATGTGGAATGAAATAAATAAATGTGTCATTCATTAATTAAAACCACGTCACTAATATAAAGTGCCACAATTAAATAAATAAATACAGCGATAAATTAAATGTGTAATTCATTAAATAAATAAGGAATTAAATATATAAATGTGTCATTAATTTAATAAAATACATCTTCATTTTATTAAAAAATAAAAATTTAATTATTTCAGTGTGCATTTAATTATTTCATGGTCCTGTGTCGCAGTGCATCGAAACCATTAAAAGAATCTGTCAAACTCACCCATCAAAGTTAGGGGGCGGGGTTAACGGGAATCGAGTCTCTGTTATCGATTTGCTTCGCCTTAATGTGCAGGGTGACCAATCAGGTGTTAGATAACCGCCCCCTAACTTTGATGGGTAAGTTTGACAGATTCTTTTAATGGTTTCGTTAAATGTTTTCATCTCATTGAAAACTTGTCAGCCATAGTCTTGTAATAAAAAATGAAATAGTGTTACATATTATAGGCTATGATAGGCTGTGAATATTACTTTATTCTTTGTCAAATTAAGTAATTAAATCTATATTTATATATATAAATTCACTCCATACAGGGTCCGACTCGGGTTCGAATTCGTCCTTTGCAGCATGTCTCTCCCCCCCTCTCATACACCCTTTACTGTCAGCCTACTGCACAAAAAAATGAACCATTAGTGCCGTAAAAAAAAAAAAGAAAACTCAATCTTTAAATGAAAATATAAAACTAGTCATAAATGAACAGATAAATACATTTTTAAATATATATTTAATAAAAAAACAAATTGAGGGGGAGTTTCTATTTACATTACCTTTTTTTTTTGTTTTAAGAATTTTTTTTTCAAATTTCCATAACATGTTTTTTTTTTTTTTCATTTACAAAAGTGTTTTTATTCCATTTGTTTGTTTATGTTTTCCTAATTTACATTTACAGAGTGTTTTTCTAATTTTTATTTCTATTTACAAAACCTTTTTATTTGTTCTTTGACTGCAGCAATAATGGACCAAAAGTTACTCCATACAGCTGCAGCCCTTTAGTGGAATAAAAAAAGTTTAGCCGAGGCTTTTCTTGCTGCCAGCTCTGACTGTGGACCTCACATAGAGCAGAAACCTTTGGCTCTTTTTCCTCCTCCCTGTTTATTTGAACTAGAACCGCGGCGTGCATCAGGTTATTAATGACGCTGGTAGTAATCGGGAGGTTCTAGACTTAGCACTGCCGGTTTGATTATTTAAACAAGGTCTCGTTGTTTTGTCTTGCCACACACAGATGAGACGAAAAGTTGTCACTGACTTATTAAACTTCCTAAGCAATCGACAGTTCTGTCTCCCCCTGGAGATTGTTTGACAAGCTCAGTTTTAAGGTTTCCAATTTGTTTCTATAAGAGCTAATGAGTTATTATGGTGCGTCTGATGGATGTTTCCCTGTTTTCTGTTAACGTATAGGCCGCAGGAGTTGGCATACAAGTATGGCAACCTCAGCGAAGGGGTCTGTAAACCGGGATACGCAGCAGCCAAGATGACATCCATCTATCCGAAGTGAGTTCTCTGCTTTATCTAAGTGCTTTTCTTATACATGACAAGAGATTCAACAAAAGCCAGATCCTGAGATGTCTTCATGGATTTGATGTGTAGATGTTAATGAGTTGTCTGAGGCATGCCGAGATACATGATGTCACTCCTATAGCCTGGTACGGCCTAAAGGCTTTTTGGTCGAAAAGAATCTGCATTCCTTTCCAATCTGATCCTACTATCAATCGTGTTTTTATCGTCTACTTCTCAGCCACAAGAACTCAACTGTGTTCGTGTTCGGTGCACAATAGAACATTTGTCACCCAAACAAAGGTCCACCATCTTTCCTCCGCCGTATCATAGAGCCTTTAAAGACTTCTCAATGGGCGACACACGCTTCCTGTCCTGATTCATCCACCAACCAACCCCCCCCCCCCCCCCCCCCCCCCCCCCCCCCCGATCCGCACGGTCCTCTGCAGCCTGATGTCATTTCTTCGTTTGATTCTTTCTTTTTTTTTTTTTGCACCCCTCAGGGTGTTCATTTGCTGTTCAGCATCTCAGCTTCATCTATAGGACACTGTTTTATTAGCATTCTAAGGCTAAGCATGAACACTGGAAAAAACTATCTAGAAATAAGTAAAAATGTCTTATATTAAGTGTATTTACACTTAATTTGAGTAGGAAAATTGCCAATGGAATGAGTAATTTTACTCTTTAAATAAGATAATTAGATAATATGCATGTGAAATAAGATAATGCAATTTTGTTTTCTTATTTTAAGTGTAAATTGTCTTGTTCCATTGGCAAAATGTCTCTTTTACCTCCTCAATCCAAGAACAAATGCACTAATTTTAAGAAAAAATGACTTGATCTAGATTTAGATTTTTTTCCTGTGAACAACTTCTGGAAGATGTTCAAGAGAATAGATCCGAATTAGTAAAAAAAGGGAATTAAAGGAAAAGTCCACTCATATTCAGAATTTAACTTCTGAACGTAATTTAAATATTAAATCATTCCATACTGTTCAATAAATGATCAGTGTTTTTAATTCAGAGCAATTTAATGTCAATGTGCTTTACTGGAGGCATCCATGTTTGTTAAAAAAAAACACTATTGCCACCTTCCACCTCAAACATATTAGTTTTATGTATAGATAATGATCCATTGATTATTATTGGTGACCGGATTTTCCTTTAAAAAAGTTTAATGAGTCAAAAAACGGTAAACTTTGGTGCAGCTTCACTAAAATGGCGCTAGTTATTACTCAAAAGTTAATGATTAGTTATATATAAAAGAAAACTGGATGAGTTAGAATCCACTACCTGGAAATGAAGTAGTAAACATTTACATTATATTAAGGGCTAAATAGTTATATAAAAGAAAGAAAAATCTTCAATATATTTTAACCATTTTGCCAAATATATGAAATACTGACCATTGATAGATTGACTTTATTGATCTCACAGCAGAGAAATGTACTTGTTACATCACCTCAAGTACATTATGTCAACATTATGACATTTATTTACAAGATTGTTTTAGATTTAAATATAAAAAAAAATAAAATATGTAAAAGGGTTATAATTTCCAATTAAGATAAAACTATCATTAACAGACAGATAGGTCAGGTGGATTTTCTCACTTAAAAACATAAAAAATAATTGGCGCAATATAAGAATTAATTGGAAAAGAAAACCAGGTCACTTTCACACCCACTGTCCACGGGTCATTAAAATCTACGGAGCCCCTAAAGGGACATGGAGGGAAAAAATAAACTTTTGCGAGATCCCGCAAAACTTTTGCGAGATGCCGCAAAAAATAAACTTTTGCGAGATTTCACAAAAGTATTGCGGGATCTTGCTAAAGTATTGAGGGATCTCGCAAAAGTATTGCTAGATCTCGCAAAAGTATTGCGGGATCTCGTAAAAGTATTGCGGGATCTCAGAAAGTTGTATTGCGAGATTTCACAAAAGTATTGCGAGATTTCGCAAAAGTATTGCGGGATCTTGCCAAAGTATTGAGGGATCTCGCAAAAGTATTGCTAGATCTCGCAAAAGTATTGCGGGATCTCGCAAAAGTATTGCGGGATCTCAGAAAGTTGTATTGCGAGATTTCACAAAAGTATTGCGAGATTTCGCAAAAGTATTGCAGGATCTTGCAAAAGTATTGCGGGATCTTGCAAAAGTATTGCGGGATCTCGCAAAAGTATTGCGGGATCTCGCAAAAGTATTGCGGGATCTCGCAAAAGTATTGCGGGATCTCGCAAAAGTATTGCGAGATCTCGTGAAAAATAAACTTTTGCGAGATCCTGCAATACTTTTGAGAGATTTCACAAAAGTATTGCGGGATCTCACAAAAGTATTGCGGGATCTCGCGAAAAATAAACTTTTGCGAGATCCTGCAATACCTTTGAGAGATCTCGCAAAACTATTACTGGATCTCGCAAAAGTTCTTTTTTTCCCCTCCATGTCCCTTTAGGGGCTCTGTAAAAATCACCAAGTCATTAAATTATAATTTTTTTAATTAAGGCCTCAATTGGCATTAAAGTAGCATTTAAAATGATTTATATATAAAAAAAAGTTTATAAAAACAATTTCGTCAGATATATTAGATTAGAATGAACTGGTTCCGTGTTTTTGCGTGGAACTGCTTCCAGTTGATCGTAAAGTTGTGCGTTTGGAAAAGAAGCTCAAGGCGCAGAAAAAGCTAGAGAAATGGGGAAAATGCTAATTTCTATAAAAGTGGCTGGAAAACATAATTCGGGACACGGCTGCAGCCCGTCAACGGTAAAGATGACCCACTGATCACAGCAAATATAGCCGCCATTGTTCCAGGCAAAGAAAGGATAGGGTAGCTCCGCCCAACGCGCTCAGACCCACTTTACCACCGTGCAGCTAGAGCAGCTAAGATGCTTCGGCCGCGCATCAGAACTAAACTTGTACAAGCTTAAAAAATGAAGCAGAACGCTCTTTATTTTCTTTAAATAATAAAAATGCATGCGTGTTTTTGCTGCTGCGTGCGGTCTGAGCGTAGCATCGCATTTAAAGAAATATTTCAGCCGATTTTTGATCAGCTTAAGCCAGACCTACACCGTACGATCAATTTTGCCGTTTTCGGGCCGATGCTCCAGTCGTTCGAGAATTTTTTTGATCGGGAGGAGTTTTGGTCTCATGGTGCGTCCTGCGCAGTGTAGCTTACAGAGAGTAACGACCACCACCTCCCGATCAGGAACCGTAAGGTCGGAAGAAAATCAATAAATTTACCACAATCAGCTGCAGCTTGAGTTGGTGGAACATTTCAATGTTCCACAGCTGAGAGGACAAAAAGTACCGTCGTTCAGGAGTCTGAGCAGATAAAGGTAATTTTTACATTTCATTTGGAAGGAGTAAAGAGGCAACGAATCCTCACTGGGTGGAGTCTAGTGTGACGGTTCCACAGACAGGGATGATTTTAGGAGCTGTTGTATCGGCTGCAGTTGATCCATAGTGTTTTATGGAATCCAAAGTCGGCTCATCCATCTTCAGGGAGTTTAAGAACATTTTAAACATCACTTTCACTGACGGCCTCAGTGGAGACAGATTTCCTCCTGAGGCAGCGCTCTGCTCCCGCCCCGCTGCATAACGTACACTGTACAAACGATCTAGAAATAGGTAAAATTTTCTGAAATTAAATGTACTTACTCTTAATTTGAGTGGGTAAATAAAATCTTCTGCCAATGGAATTAGTATTTCTACTCTTAAAAGAAGGTATTTTGATAAAATGCACTTAAAATAAGACAATGTAATTGTGTTTTCTTATTTTAAATGTAAATTGTCTTGTTCCATTGGCAAAATGTGTCTTTTACCTCCTCAATCAAAGAACAAATGCACTTATTTTAGGGGGGAAAAAAACGCATCTAGATTTCCATTTTTTCCAGTGTATAGATCAGGGGTAACCAATTAAAAATCATCAACCAATGAAGGTCCAGACATATTTTTAATTATAATAAGTTACTTTTAACAGAATTTAACACTGAAATAAAATGAGGTTTTAATGCATCCATGTTATACGTTGAATTTTTTAATAAAAAAATAAAATAAATTGAAAATATTTCAATTTTAAAATCTAAAGTATTTTATGAACTAGAGAACAACAATCGTTCAGTTTGGTATATAGACAATTTCCTGATTTAAATATTTTATAAAACACCTGAACCGACTGTTTTTTTTCAATTCAGTTTATTTCTATAGCACCAATTCACATCATGTCATCTCAGGTCACTTTCCAGTTCACCAGATCATCCAGTCAGATTGATTCAAAGTTTTCTATCTAAGGAAAACCAGTGGATTGCATCGACTCATTGACTCTTCAGCAATCCCTCACACTAAGCATGCTTGTAGCGACAGTGGAGAGGAAAAACTCCCTTTGAACAGGAAGAAACCTCCAGCAGAACCAGGCTCAGTGTGAGCGGCCATCTGCTGAGGCCCACTGGGGTTCAAGGAGACAGAAGCAGACATAGAAAAAGAAGCATAGATACCAAAAGCGAATGTAAAAGGCAACGGGCTCCGAGCCAGCTCCCATGTCAGAGGATGAAGAGAGCACATCCAGTTAGTCACAGTCAGAGAAACAGGACTACACTGGAAAACAGGCCAAGCTCCAACATCTAGAAACAAAGGTGTTGATGGCAGCAGCACAGCTGATATTTCTCTCCAGGATGGAGTCACAGCCAAACAGGAACAGACCAGATGAAGCTACTATGAGAAAAAGCAGAGAGAGCAGAACGTTAGAGATTGAACTAACAGATTCTGCAGAGTGGGAGAATAGAGATAGCAAACAATGATCATTTATTGAACAGTGTGTAATAATTCCATATTTAAAATGTGATCTTGCCAGCTCTGGTCTAAAGGAAAGGATAATTCAGCTAATAAGTTTTCAGACCATACGGGCGTGAGCGCTCAGAGAAAGCTGCTTAACCTCCAGCGGCCGAGGTCCTGTGGCTCCCCTTCTAATCATCTCCTGCTTCCTCCTTGTTTGTCTTCTCTGAAGCC